AGCAGGACTTCCATTTCGGACTCAAAAGTCCTAGTGTTCGAGCCGAAGATCTAAGGATGCCCAACCCAAGTTGTGAATCCACAAGAGAATGACAACATCAGTTGAGCCTCCCGACCTCAAGCGTAGACCGGACTCAAGTCCGAAAAGTAAGCCAGATTCAGACTTGTTGAAGCCGAAATCCGGAACAGTGTCTTGTATCATTATAACTCATACAAGACACTGTTCCGGATTTCGGCTTCAACAAGTCTGAATCTGGCTTACTTTTCGGACTTGAGTCCGGTCTACGCTTGAGGTCGGGAGGCTCAACTGATGTTGTCATTCTCTTGTGGATTCACAACTTGGGTTGAGCATCCTTAGATCTTCGGCTCGAACACTAGGACTTTTGAGTCCGAAATGGAAGTCCTGCTCTTTAATTTTCACCCAACACAACAAAATTGCATTCAGGATCCGGCTTACTTTTGAGACTTGAGTTCGGCCTTCGTTCTGGGTCTGGAGGTATTCTGGTGGTATGTTTGCTTCTGATGAGGCATTCGTCTACAGGAATTCTCCTTGGACTTCCAGTTTGGACACTAGGACTCTTAAGTCTTGATTGGAAACTCTTTTCTCTCAATTTTACTAAAAAAGGTTTACTCTTTGGCCTGGATTGAAGTCCACTTCATCTTATTTTACCTTTCAGAATGTTTCAAAATTTTCAGACAGCTTTTCTGCTCACCTTGTCAATTCTTTCCCAAGCGCTTCTTTCATTATGTCACTTGTCTACTTCATACACATGTTAACTAAGTCATAGACATTGACACTCAGTCATTGTCAACATTTTACTAAGGTTAAAAATTATCAAACATTTTCCAGAATAAATAAGGTTATGGTCCCTCGTGCTATTTGTGGACTTGAACAAAACAATCTCAACATGTATTTTTAAAAAAATTTTACAATAACCCTTTAGGGAACATTTTTGTTAAATGTATGTCTGTTCATAATCCCGTTTGTACCATAATGATGTTTGTGATCACTAATTTTTGGACCTTTTTGTAAATACTTGACGAGTAAGTAATCTACCTTTTTAGATTTGTTTTTGAAATTTCATAAATGTTACTTACTTGCAGGTATAGCACTGATGATGGCTTTTTAGCCGAAAGCGCTTTGCGATTTATAATAAAAAAAATTTACACGAAATACAAAATCTCTTCATTCTATAAAGACTATGAGACTTTTCCTGAAGCTGAACCTGTATTTCCATTCTGCCTGATAGGTCAATGATTCCATCGTCCCAAGTAAGCTCAATACCAAATTTGAGAGAATATATTACTGCGATGGGTATTTTAATACTTATGGACGAGTGATAATTCACCCTGTATCTCTGTTATGAAGACTGTGAGACTAAGTAAGTTCTTTCGAACGATCATTCAACAAGAATATATCAAATAATCATAATTGAAAGTGGTTTCATAATTTTAATACTCTTGAAATTGACATACTTTTAGCTTCCTGTTTATGATTGTTACGATGAGAATTGGTGGCGGGAAAACAAAAAGCATCAAATCCAGTTTAGTTTTTCCTCCTCTTCACGATTCCTTTGATGAACTATGTCAATTATTACATACAGTGTGTTAACGAACAGCAAGGCTCTGAACACCAATTCCTACCTTCCTTATTTCCCTTGATTCTCACGATGTTCTCTGAACATTACATGATATTCCTTTTCGTGGAAACCAGGGCATAAAAAAAATCAGCTCAGTTGAAGATGGTGCATTTCTAGAACAAAATCACCAAAATGAATTCGAGAAATTGGGAATAATCGAAATATCATCAGTAGCGTAAAAACATGGGAGAAAACGTTATCACAACTCCCTGTAGCACACCACTGGATAAAATGTTCGATATTACTTTCTGGTCAGAAAATGAGCGATTCGCAGATGAAACGGTACATACTGATTTCGAATGCAAAATATTCATTATTGAGTTATTGTGCAAAAACTACTTCTATTTCTCAACTTCAACACCCTGTAGGTATCTCGAGAACTGAACACATGGAGACAAAATGTCACTGTCTTAGTATTTATTATGGAATCACGAGGGCTATCACCTTCCAAACGTTGTCGGTCGAATTTTGAAACACTCTGTATGAATTAGGTAGTTATATTATTTTGACATAGTTAACCCACTGTTAAATTATGAAACTTAACTCTCAGAATACACTGCATATAAGAAGTAACAATATGAAAAAACCATTTCCATTCGAATATCTGTCAACTAAAATTAGATAGTGTAATAGTTTCGTAATCATGACTCATTTAATAATACCATAGTGGAAATCTAAGTGATAGTCATTCACTGAGTTGAATCTAGTTTTCACTCTAGATGAGAACCTTTAATAATAATAACAGTAGACCGAGGGTGTCTGATGAGACCTGGGGGGCAGAAACAGTACATTTTTCTTTCAGCTCAATACATATTAAAAAAAAAAGTGCTCAGGAAAGTGTCAAAGTTTTAGTGACTAACCCTGTAACTACTCATTCATTGAGCATAAGCGTGATGAGTAAGATTTCAACTCGACAAGTTGACATGTATACATTGACCAATTAACCCATTTATGTTTTGTGTATGTACAGACCTCTCAAGTCGACACTGGATCGTACTTTGTGCTAAAATAAGATTTCTCACTCTTTTCTTAGAACTACTTAAAATTATTCCGATAATATATTTACGATGAATCATCACACGTAAGCGTCATGATGAACAGATATAATCAACTCCAAGTCTACACTTATAATGAAAACTGTAATCATTGAAGAAAAATATAGCAAGTTTTCGACTTTCAGAAAATATCCCTGATAACAAATGAATCATTGGAAAATCATTGAACAATCTCAGGAAATGTTTTGGATCTGAGAACAAAATTAGAACTGTAATTTTTGTGCGCAAGCCGCAACCTAATATCTCCATAGACAGCTCATGTTCAACAGTGATTTTCTAAATTGTAAATCGCACAATTATGTTCCAACAATGAAGAGTATTATCGCAAAAACTGAAGTTCAAAATCATAAAATCTCATATAATTATTATTCAGTAGAAAATATTTCAAATTGGAATATAGGCGGAGAAAAATATGCATTTCGTTGTCAAATTTTATTGACAGGATTTTTATTCTTGAAAATTCTGCCACTTTCACACTATAGGGAGCTCCAATCTGTTCTGCCTTCATTATTTCAATTCCAGTCAGTCTTCTGATGGTAGACTATCTGTATACTCATCCTACTTATAGAATTAGTCATTACATTGATTGTGCAAAACTAAATTCTAATCTTTCGAGGTTCTTACAATATTGCGAAACAGATTGCAGTCAACAACGGATACAACGTTAATTTGATAGACAGTATTCTTTCTGAAAAACTTCATCATAAAGCTATTCAAGAAGTTCATCCTACCATCAAGAATAATAATCAGAATTATAGAACTTTAACCTATTTCGGATCATCAACTGAGAAATTAGCTTCATTTCTACATAAACAGGACTTAAAAGTGGCACATAGAACAAATAACACGTTGGGATGGTTTATCAAGAATAATAAGGACAAAACAAACTCAACTGTGGATCTTGTCCTAAGGTATATATCGGTCAGACAGGTCGTTCGTTTAATCAGCTCATTCATGGACATAAGATGAATTTTACAAAAAAGGAAACAAATTCAACATACGCCAACCATAATATTAGAAGAAAACCAAGGTTTTGATGATAATTTCGAAATTCTGCACGTAGAAAATAAACGACTGAAACTCAATCATTTTGAATCATTAGAAATCAACAGACTCAAATATTTCGACATTTTACTCAATGATCAATTAGACCTCAATAGTTCACCACTGTTGAATTTGTTTTCTTAGTAAGTAATAATATGTATTTGCTATCAACTCTTTCAAGTTAATCCGGTTTACCGTATTTAAATGTAGATATTGTGCCTAATTTCCGAAAATGGAGGTTTATCGTACCTGTCCACAGGTAACTAATTCTTCAGGTTGGGAAAGTAAGATATATAAAAGTTAAGCAAGCCAACGTTAGTTCAGTTCATTGTACCAGTATATCACCTAACGAGAAGCTACTGTGTTAGCGAAACATGTCGTGTGTTTGAGGATTTTGTGGAAATCTGATCGTTTGTGAAGTTTTTACATTTGTCATGGATTTTCATGAAGTAACGGCCGAGTCAATTCAAAAAAAGTTTTGAAGAGAGTGGAGGAAATCAAAAATCTAGGGCTGATTCTAGATTCCAAAATGAATTTCAACAATTCAATAAATGTAGTAAAATGTTGGGCTTCCTCCCTGGAATTTGTTAAGGTTCTAAATCTCAGAAATCATTGAAAACTCTATACTCTGCTTTTGTTTACAGCAAATTGAATTTCGCGAGTGTGATTTGGAATTCGAGATATAACATATATAAACTAGGGATCGAAAAAGTACAAAAAAGATTCGTAAGATTTCTGAATTTCAAAATAAATGGAACCTACATCATAGAAAATATTCATCTAGTTCGGCAGTCGTTTGGTATTTTTGAACTTAAAAAACGAAGAATAATCACTGCTCCTCCAAGAAATACTCGTAACAATTTTTTCAGGCCTCAACTCTCCAATTTGTAATAGTTTCAACGAATATTGTAGTGTTGATATCTACTATATATCTTTATTCACCTTCAAAGAAGAAGTTAAAGAAATATTTCTCACATGAAATTCCAAAATCATTCAACATTTTAAATTCCACTTCAACTATTATACTTTTACTCATTACAAGATTTAAACGAGTTGTCATGCAAAATATTGTATCAGCGAATACTTTTTTGGGTTTTGAACCAGTTTGTATCCCAGAGTTGTAATAAATGAATAAAAAAAGTATTACAATAGGAAATTAAACTCAACAGGATATCAAATTATTATAAACAGAACAAAATTTTAATTGTCAATAAAATATAACAGTATATTCTTCAATCTACGCTAAGTAATTGATGTGTTATATTACCTTCATCATTCTTAAAATAAATGCTTCAGGGCAACTGTCCAAACACTAAACACTCAATGTTCATGTATACAGTTTGTCTTCCCGATCATTAACGAAATTCGTATTCAATAAACATCAACATTTGTTCACTTACAGATGCTGTTTATTATAATTATTCCCAATATATTCAGTTGAAGAGCAATACATATTTTAGCATTTTTTTTATTTCTCTATTTCATTTCTAGTATCTTTTGACGATAACTTTCTGTTGATGTGACCTCTGTTTCTGATGAGGACGCCTTCTATGAGATTGTTTTTCCCGATTCTGATCAATATTTTTTTTATTCACACGACGATTATGACTTATCTTATGCCGTGATCTGGGATGCTGCTTATTGCCCTCACGTCTGTATTTTTGATTCCCACGATGATGTTGATGAGCATGTTCATTCGAATGTTCTTGTATATGAGAATGTTCACGTTTGTAGTCTTCTTCATAATCGCTGTGATGATGTTCTTGCTTCTCCTTATTAGTATGATAATGTTCAGGATCATCTGCTAGCTGATGTTCTGGTTCTAATTGGTGATAATGGGCATTTTCGTATTTGTGCTTATGAGAATATTCACGTTTATCTTTCTGTTTGTAACCGCGAGGCAGAACATCCTCGTATTCATGTTTGTCGTCACTTTCAGGGCCACCTTGGTATTCTTGATGATGATGTATTTGCGCATGAGAATGTTCGAGAACGTCTATCGGCACTTGCTCGTTTTCACGTTGTAGCTTATGATAATGTTCATTTTTGTGTTTAGTACGTAGAAAACCTCTGTTTTTATGCTTGTGATTCTCTTCTGGAATCTCAATATCATATTCTTGATTATGGTGATGATGGTCTTTGTTCTCCTTGTGCTCATGAGAATGTTCATGAACATTTGCAGGAACTTTCTCCTGCTTTTGCTTGGTGATGTACCCATGAAAATGTTTATGCTGATGGTAGTGAACTTCCTTTTTGACGTGTGTCTCAGTGGGTTTTCTTTCTTTCAGCTCATCTATGTCATCATTCCCTTCAAGAGGTTCGTTTTGAATGACTGAAGGTCTAATACCTTTTGTATTCTGAGAATTCTCAGTTTTTGGTGTTTGTTCTTCCAAATTATGATCGAGGCCTACTGTGTCTTGCTGGTTCAGCAAAAAATTGTAGTTCAAGGAATCAGTAGGCAAGGTGAACAAATTGATGTGCAAACCTTCTGAAGGTTGCAATCTAGTATTTGTAGGTTCTAATATCGTACTTATCTCTTCATGTGGTGGATCTGGAGGTTTTTCAGTCGTTAGAGGAGAGAAAAACTGGTTGAATAGTTGCTTGGAGGGTTTGAAGGGTATTTCAGACGTTGAACTCGGTGTTTCATCAAAGACAGTTCCGAAGATCAGAGGTCTAGAAGTTACAGTCTTCTCAATGGATCTGACATCGGATATTTGGTAAGAGCAAATTGGCTTGACATGGAAAGCTAATGTCATCAGGAAACTAGCTATAATCTGCAAACAAAAATTCATAGTTCAGAAATCGTGATGTGAGGAGTTCATATCTTTAAAATGCAAAGTGATGTTTATGTATTGTTTATGACTTGCTGATAAGAAAATAGAGGTGAAAATATATTCAGAAACGAAATAAAGTCATAAAAATAGAATTGATGATACAGTTAGGGAAGGAGTGGCTTGTAAACTCTGTTATTTGAAGACCTATTACTTTAGTTGGAGCTAGGAATACTTTTCCCCATATTGAATATAAACAATGCATGAGAGTGAATACTGTCTGTAGGAATATCTCCACATATCACAAGAAACCTCCACATTTTTACGGACTTCCAAAAATACACAAACCAAATGTTCCATTGAGACCAATTTTGAGTTCACTTGGATCTCCATGTCAAAATTCAGCAAGATTTTTTTTGAAATCATCAATCCCATTTAAGGAAAAAGTGAGAGTTACATTAGAAATAGTCTTCATTTCATAGGAAAACATAATAACTCTTGATACAAATACTACACTCGCTAGTTTTGATATTGTAAGTTTATTTACAAATCTTCCAATAGATAAAACTCTAAAAATAGTGAAACATGAATTAGAAGACCAAGTCCCACTGAGAGAACTAATCTAAGTATATCGAAGGAATAATGGAATTTTTTGAATTGTGTCTTAAAACAACATATTTTCAATTGGATGATGAGTTTTATCAACAAAACTTTGGAATTGCCATAGGATCGACATTATCTCCAATTTTAAGTAATATATTTATAGAGAATTTCGAAGAGAACATCATCGAAAATTACCACAAACAACCTAAAAAATGTTGACGATACGTAGATGATATTTTCATAATTTGGCCACATAACCTTATGGAGATAGATATTTTTCTGAATTATATGTACAATGCCAAACCTACCATAAAGTTCACTTTGGAAATTGAATCTAACAATCAGTTACCATTTCTAGATGTTCTTATTGAGAAATCAAATAACATCTTTGTAACAAGTGTATATCGTAAAAAGACCCATACTAACAGATACCTGAACTTTCAATCAAATCATCAGAAAAGTTTTAAGAAAGGAATAATCAAATCACTCCATGATAGAGCCAAATCAATATCATCTGACCAACAAATTTTGAATAACGAAGTCCACCACATTGAAAATGTTCTCCAACTCAACTCCTATCCAAAGAATTTTGTCGATAAGACGATTCATCAAATTGAAAACAAACAAGGTCCACCACAACAAAATCAACCATCAATAACGACAAATAATATAATACCATACATTCCCGGCATATCTGAAAAAATAAAACGTGTTCAAAACTGAAAATACAATGAGATCAATTCTAACTCAAACAAAACCGAAAAATGAAGAACAATCGTCGAAAAATTGTATTTATAGTACCTTGTGTTTGTGGAAAGTTTTATACAGGTGAAACCAAGAGACATCTTCCAGTTAGGACGAAGGAACATGAATACAATCTAAAGAAAAGACACATCGACAAATCGAATCTAGTCGAAAATATCCTCACTGAAGATGGACAAGATATGGCAGAGTGGAATAATATTAAAATCATTGGAAGAGAAGATAACAATTAGAAGAAAAAAATCAAGGAATCTGCTTGCATTCTTCTGAACGGAGACAATTATTGCATTGCTTTCTGTTCAGTTGATATAGATAGAACATGGTATTCACTACTGAAATCTGAAAATGCAAATGGTGAATTCATTCAATTTATTTCTCTTCTCCAAACCTTTTTCAATACAAATAATCACTGACAAGCTAGTGAATTTTTCTTTTAGGCTCTCTGATAAGGAAATTTTTTAAGCGCAGTGACATTTTGGGGCAAATCATCTGATTTCTCCTCACTACACGTATATTGAAATAGTATTCATATTTTTATTTTATAGAGACGAGGAGAGAAAATCCCAAAAAAAATCTGGAATAAGATTATTTCTTTATGAATTTTCAAAAATAGCTCACCCATACTTCCATATCTTCTTGACTTCTGTGTGTTGAAAACTTTAGAAATGGATGGAGAATAACTTGGATAATCATTTTATATCGTCGATTGATTTATTGTTTCCCGCCACCTCCGAGATTCAATTTTATCTTGGTGGTAAAGATCAGGTATCAATAATTGTGTCTAATCATAGGTATATAACCACGAATTAAATCTTTCGATCAGAGAAGCGATCCACGAACGTTCTTTTGCTCTTTCAAAAAGGATCTGAAATATTCAATTATAACTCTTTCAATCTCCCGAAGTGCACGGAAGGATATCTTTATTATGTTCGAGGATAGAGAGAATTTTTTTTTACATTTGGGGTTATGCGTTTTTGGAAATTATGCATTTGGCAGAGAATCTCACAGCATTGCTGTTCAATAGACAAACGAGTTCTGATAAAGAGTTTGACATACACTATCAGACAAAAGTGAAGCAACACTTTCGAAAAATGAAAGAAATCTCGATTTTATAATAGTGAATGCATGATATTGTATTTAGATACATTGTGTCTCGAATATCAAAGTAGGCTGCTGTTATCGACGTCAACAGCTTTTTCCAACAATCAAAACAAATGAACTGATATTGACGTAAACTTTCAAATACAGAATTGTAATGCGTCAAAAGTGAAGCAACATTTTAATATTTTTCTAAAAAACAAAGGTTTTTGTGAAAGGAAGAGTAAAAAAAAATTGACGACTTTATTTTATGTTTAACTAATATTTCTGTGCTGGATTAGTCATGCCAAGAGGTATTCCAATTGCGAAAGAATTGAAGCAGAGAGTAGTAAATGCGCACTTGGAAGGTGCAATACAAGCCACAATTTCAAAACGGTTTGTTTTACCCCGATACAGCGTGTCAAAAATAATTTCAAGTTACCATGAAAGGGGACATTTTGAGATTCTACCTAAATCGGGAAGACCGAGAAAAACAACAATTTGGACAGACAGACGTATTAAAAGAATTTCTCAGAACGATCCTTGGTTGTCTGCACCTAGAATTATTGCTGAAATTCCCGGAATTATGGTTAGTCCACGAACAGTGCAAAGAAGGTTGGTAGACGCAAAGCTATTTAGTAGACACCCCGCTAAAAAAACGCTTATTTCGGCAAGAAATAGAGTGGCTAGGCTTGAATTTGCAGTAGACGAGTGGAAAAAAGTTCTATTTAGCTATGAAACGCGTTATAAGATTTTTCAATTCTGATGGAATGAAGCGTGTGATACGTTACACCCACAGTTAAACATGGTAAAGGCAGTGTTTTTCTATGGGGTTGTTTCTTATGAAATGGGGTAGGCCCTTTAAGCTCTATTAATGACACCATGGATCGATTTGTCTATAGGGATATAATGCAAAATGTAATGTTGCCTTATACAGAGTGGGAAATGCCGTTGAGCTTTATTTTCCAACCGGATAACGATCCAAAACACGAATTGTTCAAGAGTGGTTTCAGGAAAATAATGTTCTGGTTTTGCAGTGGTCGGCACAATCCCCAGACCTTAACCCCATTGAAAATCTATGGGAGGAAAAAGAACGTGGAATTCGTACACAAATATTTCTAAATAAACAATCATTATTGGTAAATAAAATCGATGAAGTTTGGACAAATCTTCCCGAAAATACTTTTCAAAAATCAATTGATTCAATGCCGCGACGTTGTTGGCAAGTTATAAATAAAAATGGATATTCTATTAACTATTAATATAATACTTCTGGCTATTGTAATTATTAAATGTGTTTAATGTTCTTTCATCGTAATATCTAGAATAAAATACTGTTGACACAATTTGTTGCTTTACTTACGTCGCACTGCATTTCGTCGATTTTGATAATTATAAGTATTTCTCAACCTTTATTTTGTTTGAAGTGTACCAAAATATTGTGAAATATTACTGATATTGTGGGGATCATATTTCATTGAAATTAGCCGGGGATCACAATCATATAAATAAATCTGCAGATTCAAAGAAATAACAGCACTTTGTTGCTCTACTTTTGTCCAATAGTGTATCTCGCGGCCAAACCAAAGTCATGGGTCTCACTCAGCTCAGGTAATTACGTGTTTCATTGCAAGAAAAATTGATAAGACAAGATTTTATAGGGCCACCACGATGCGATCATTTATGAAAACCCTGTATTATTCTGAACCACTAAAAAAATTTACTGGATGAAACGAACGACTTGTACCATGATAAAGAAATGAATACCAACGCAGTTGAAATCTCAACGAAACACCATAATACGTATTCATTATTATACTGAAAATAATAATGATCGTTTACTCTCTATCTATAATAGTATATTATGTAACAAGTGTTATAAACGTCCTTTTAGTAACGAGTATTTTACAGTTTGATAAACGAGAGTCTAGAAGAGTTTATAAACGCGTTACATATTATGCTTTTTCTATACGAACTTCGAAAATTACGTTAACATACCTGCTATTCCTGCTAACCTACAAAATAATTCGAAAGGAATGGGAATTGAGAACATAATACATGCAACTGCATGCAACCAGCGAAACACGTATAAGTGATATTGGTTGTAGATGTGTCCACTGTCCAGTCACGGCGTCTAGTCCATTATTGCTTACTAACCTTTGTTTCACGTTTATTCTCATGCTTAGCGCAGAATAAGTAAATTATTCTCAAAAATGGATGCTCCATTTTCACACTTCTTGGAGATATGCAAGTACCAGAACATTCTCTTCGATTTCAGTTTCGTCTACATTTCGCATATATTTTTAATGAAGAATTCTGATACAACGAATATTGTTTTAATAATTCTGACACAAAATTTGATAATAACAGTTGTTAGTTAATACAATTGACAGGCCAGACATGTCTCAAATTAGTGAAGCTGTGTTTTACTTTCGTCTACATTTCGGTTATATTTTTAATGATGAATTCTGATACAAATGAAAATTGTTTGAATATTTCTGGTACAAAGTTTGGAAATAACAGTTGACAGTTAATACCATTGACAGGCCAGAAATATCTCAAACTACTGAAGCTGTGTTTAATGAACTGTGTTACCATGGTAATGGGTTTGAGAAATCGTGTTGCCATGGTTACGTAATATTTTGAATAAATCACAAATCGTCAATCCGTGATTAATTGATCAATTATCGTGGTACATATCCATACGCTAAATGCCATTTTAGTTATGTGAGTAGAAAAAAGGACTTGCAGTTCTTTCTCGGAGACGGTATTATTGGCTTATTTTATTTCATTATATTTTACTTACTTTTTTTCCGTAAGAGAGTAGTAATTTATGAAAAGTGACATTTTATAACCTGTCAACAAAGATGAAATTTCAAACTTTCTTCCCGTCACAGAGAAAATGTATTTATTCTCCTCTCATCGAATGTCTGTTCCGACTATGATGAATTATATTTCAAGTCGATATATTATTCGCCCGTTTCATCTGAAGGGATAATTAATTTAATATCATAATTATTGCAATTATGAGGAAAAAACCGATGGAGTGATTCACTTTCTTCTCAGCGTATAATGTACAATTTCTCCTGAATTAGTAAATACTAAATCACTACGATGATTAGCGCCTTATTTATTTCTCCTCAGAAACTGAAAATTTCAAGATTTTTTTTCAATCTTGCGTTTATTATTTCTTAAAATATTGTTCTTTTATTTTTTCTATTCCATCATTTTGAACCAATATTGTAGGTATATTCAGTTACGTAGAGGTTATGCATTGCGAAAGTTAACATTATCGACCTCTCCAATTGAAGACATATGTGTTGATAAAGAGATTACCAATTCCATTCTCCTTTGCCATTGTGAGACAAATTATTTTTGAAAAATATGGTAAGTACATATTTCCCAAGCATATTTAATTTATTTTCGGTTTTCCAATATCGACAGCTTCTCCTTGGTCTACATCATTGGTTTCGTATATAACTATAGGGTCGATTAGATTTGATATAAAATATTACGACATCTGGAATCTGCTAATCGATAGAGATATTTCTTTCTTGATGGATTCTTGGGTAGCAATGCTCGAAATCAGTAACTACATAATATAATGGGCAAAAAAATTGTATTTCATAATTCGATAGAACTCACCCAAACTAGCTCACCACCGCAAACCGTTTCTTGCTGTGAGCTCCCTACGTTTTATAAAAAATTATTGAAATCCCCGATTTTTCGGACCTCTGAAAACGAGGCGATGATGTGACGTCAAAACCCTAATACTGAAACAAGACTATTCTAGACAGAGATGAATGATACATGAGTTCTGGCAGAGTGAATTAGCGCGAGATCACAGTTGAAAGAATTAATATATCAGTTGCCTCAGTCTCCGTCGGGCGTTTGGTATTTTCGTTCAACTATGGCGAGATGAGGTTTCTACGTCATAAGAGGGTCCGTTTTCAGAAGGTACTATTATTTATGTCCAGAAATAAAACATTCCAGTTAATTTTTCGATCGAATTATGTCGTCAATCATTATTTATGTATAAAAAGATCATTATAAACATGGTCTGAGTTAAAAGTTCTACCAAGGTGTACACGCCCATTACTACATCAGCAGAAGGATATCAAAGAGACGATTGAAATCCTCAATATTAAAATTTTGAGAATTATACAATATTTTTTTGTAATCTTCAAATTTTGAGATCTGATATATTTAGACTATGGTGCTAATACGCCGTCATTTCAAATACTGCCCTGCAATCATCTAAAAATAAAATCATAAATACCTATAACATAGATTCAGTACAAATACTACACGTACAAATAATATAGTTCACTTACCCAGGCCTTGATGTTACACAAACGTGTTATGTTATGTAGCGTTGTTTGTATTTTTCTCTATTCTGCAAATAGAAAGTAGGTTTTGCTCTTATTTCAATGACAAAGCTGTCAACTTCTAAGCAGGGGAGTTATCTTACAAAGGGTGTGTAACTTATTATGCCATAAAAGATAACCATCATCAGGTCAGTATGACGTTTTCATTACGTAATGATGGCCAAAATAGAGATCATGGGCTAGTGTAGAGTCACTGGGTGGTATTAGTAGTTAAGAGTTCGGACACAGCCAATGAACTCAAGATGTGTTTATATTGAGTCCATTGGATACAGCTGAACTTCTGTCATTTTCTATATTTTGTATACAAGGATCAATTTTGGCACCAACATTATTCCTGCTTCATATCAATGATCTGTTGGGAGTAACAACTTGCCCCATCCACAGCTTTGCAGATGATAGTACCCTCCATACTGCGTTCTCTTCCAGAATTCCCATTTCTTCCCAGGAAACTAAGAACTCACGGCGCAGGCAGGTCAATGCTGTCAATGAAGATCTTGCTGAAATCACAGCCTGGGGAAGAAACAACCTAGTTGAATTCAACGCGACCAAAACTCAAGCCTGCATTTTCTCTAGAAAGGCGGAACTCAGTATGCTTGATATTGTAATGTCTGGCTCCACCATCCCCACCAAGCCCACCATATCTATGCTCGGTATTTCCATCAGCAACACTCTTTCATGGGATAATCATGTCAGATCCATCGCAAGAGCTGCTTCAAAAAAACTCGGATACTTGTTCCGTGCGAAAAGCTACTTTACACCTCAACAGCTTCTCATGATCTACAAAGCGCAGATACGGCCTGTTCTAGAATACTGTTCCCACATATGGGGTTCAGCACCAAAACATACGCTGATGCTCTTAGATTCCATCCAGAGAAGAGCCATTCGCCTGGTGGGTGACGCCACACTCACTCACTCTCTGACATCATTGGAACACCGTAGAAAGGTCGGCGACCTTTCACTTTTCTATCGATACTTCCACGGGAAATGTTCTTCGGAAATCTCTGCTATCATCCCGTCACTAGCAAAACCAATCAGACGAACTAGACAAGCCCAGTCAGCACATCCTTTCGTTGTCAACCTCGAAAGATGTCGAACAGCACTTTATCAAGACTCCTTCATCCATAGAACGGCTAGGCTCTGGAATTCATTGCCTGTGGAAGTATTCCCAACAACATATAATCTCCAAAAGTTCAAAAAAAAATCCAATACCTACCTCATGTCCCTATCCTCCCTAGGAACGCACGATGTTCTTTGAACATTATAGGGATTCCCTTTCGTGCGCTCCATGCGATAAAAAAAAAATATTGCAATGGTTTGAGTGAGGAAAATAATAGGACATATATTCTGCTCTTTGTCTTTTCAATTTTCCTAATAGCGCCTTATTGTCAGAAACGATTTAAGAGGTTATTTTTTGTGGCAAACCAATCGTAGTCGTAGATGGAAAATAGAAATAGGTTTCAAACACCCACTTCGATTTCGCACTTCGCTGAACAAAAGTTCTTAAAATGGAAAGATTGCATATCACAACATTTCAATATGGCAAAATAGACACAAATATAGATTTATCTATAGCTAGTTCGGTCGGTATTGAAAACACCATTCAATGATATGAGTAATACCAATTTACTTGATTTCCTCAGTTTCGTTCTCAAATTTTCAATTTTATTAGGTAGTTTGGCAATCAAATCCTCTTTCTCCATGATAATTTTGTTTTGCATTTGCTGTGATGATAATAATAGATTTTTTTTATACCTAATCTGTTTTGTAAATGGATGGAACAGCAAATCCTCTCAAAGGGTTCTTGAAATCTGATCTGTTCAAAAATGGTCCTGAAATATAGTTTCATTCTCGGTTTCATGTTAATCTGCTGTTATAAGAAGTGAATTTTGATGTATGTACCTCACAAATTTTGCTTGTCTCCAAATCAATTTTCCATCCGCGGTTTCATACATTGTTTCCCTAATAGAATGGTTGATATTTCTCTCGATGTTTCCTTTGGAAAATTGAAAAAATGGAATCCAATCTCTTCAGAAATTCAGGATTCCCACAATACATCACTCAGCAGGACATTTTCATTTATGCTTTCTTCTACATCAATTAGTTGAATAGGTCATGAAATCAAATCTCAATTCTGACGTTCGTAAAATGTATTGCCAAATTAAAAAAAAAATTAATGAAAAAGCGCGCGGGACGACTATCTATGGTGCTCTTGTTACAATGCAAGGTGTGTAAGTTGATGAATCTAACCATTCAAAATCACTAACAGTTGTCATTTCTGTGTCCGAACTTTTATCAAACTGATACCATCCAACTAATACCATCCAGTGACTCTAGGCTAGTGTACAGTTTCTTCTATTTTTCATTCCCAAAATCTCCATGCAGATGCTTTTGATTTTTTCATTTCTCAAAAATTTTTTGAATTGTCTCAGTCTCATTCAAACAGACGAAATTTGTCTTTCATAAGTGAAAAGTACGAAGCACACAGTTGCCAGATGTCAAAGTTCATCTGAAAATAACAGAACTGTCTGGTTATAAACATTCTTGAACCCTGATTTATCACCCTCCTACTATGTGGAAATATTCCTAATCACTTTATTATTATCGAATAAATAATATTCTTCCTTCATACTGGTAATACATTTGTTTGAATGCATGAGTGACAAAAACGTCATTAATTCACACCAGAAGAGATCCAGTGCTACTTCGATTCAAACTATTTATCCTGTTTGAATAAAGAATATGTTCATTGAACAGGGTGTGCTCGGGGTCTAAGCTCGAATTTTGTTAATTTCGATTGTTGAAAACCGCATTTCAATATCTCTATAAAACCGTTTCCGATATATAGGCAAAAATTTGACCTATCTAACTAAGTTGAAATGTCACATAAACGTCATTTTCGAAGAGAAATATGTTGTGACTATATAGACATATCTTGACATATATATTTTTGAATTTCCTGGAGTCAAAGCCAACTATGGTTTCTATTTGAAATAACGTTGGCTTTGATATCAGACAATTGATACGCGATATATTTTTTCAGCGTTCTACGGTAAAAAGTGCCTGTAGAAAGTTTTTTCACCAATTATAATCGAATTATCAAGAATATGTTAGAGACCTGGCGTTGAATAAAACATAATAGGAGGAACCCATGATATTATAGTTCATGCTTGACTTTTTCAACCAGCATTTCCAAATATTTCTTATTCTTCATTCGCGATTAAAAATAAGCGTATATACGCCATCTATCGGAGTAGTATCAGGTAGCCGTGCGGACAGAGTGTCCGTATTCTAATCCGCATTCGCTTGCCGGTCGTGGGTTCGATTCCCATCGACTACAAAAATTTTTCTGATGGCCCAAGAAAGTGTTTGGGATCACACTCTACGCACAAGTCTCTCGAAGATTTCTGAGGGTTGCTTGTAAAGGGGCAACCGAGTGACGGATAGAACAATTTTATAACAATTTGGAAGCTGTCAAAGCGGCCTGTTTACTTTGTTCTCATTGGTTCACACTTGTGTTTTGTTTCTGCCTATTGGTCACATCCATCATAACAAACCGCTCAGAAGTGTTCAAATGTTGCCGTCAGGTGGAGCGACGTGTCATTTTTTATCGCGAATAACAAAATTTCATGTGAATGTTGGAGACTTGGCAACATTGTGCTGAATGCTGAGAACTGACAAGACCACGCTCACAAGTCGTGCGCCGTGCTGTCACGTTCAGCGATTCGAATGTCCTCTAGTGTGAATTAATATAATTATTATTTACACAAATTTATTATAAGCAATAAGCCACAAATCATTAGGGAACATTTTGAGACAATTGAATTTTTATTGCTAATTAGGAATATTACCAATACTCAATTGAGAATTCATGAATTATTGAATAACTAATATTTCTGAAGTTCCCAAACGTATTCCGACTGGCAACTGTGATATGGTCCGTCTTCACCAGGGGCGGATTAACATTCGAAGGCGCCCAAAGCCCATGCATATTTTCGCGCCTCCCTTCTCAATGTTTTATTCAGTTTATATATGAGACACACAAAACTGGCGACAGTGTTATACATATTTTATTCAAAATTATATTAGACACTGAAAAATAGTTAAACAACATTAACAAACTATTTTCAACAACAACAACAACAACATCCTCGTGAAAGGATGATATACTCTGCTCTAACTTGATATGCCACTGATACAGCATAGCGTTGCCAAATGTTGCCATCTATGGGTAATGACTTTTAGGAGGAGAACTACGGGGGCTGTCATAGAGTTGCTACTTCGAATATTCGCAATCAGTGCGATTATAAAACTATGTTGTATAGTTGATAATAATAATAATAATAATAATACATGTCTTTATTACCAATTAATGAAAGATAATTAAATTTTGTTAGTGCATAGTTAGGGCGAGATTCAGTTTGTATGCATTAAAAAAATATAAGATGAGTATCATAGTATAAAGTACCCACATAAGCAAATGTATAATTTCATTTCTGATCCATTTAATTTTTTTTTAGTATTCGGAATTTTTTTCGCCCTCTGGGCGCTAGAAGCCCTGGCTTTGCGGGCTTGTACTATAAGGAGGAAGGAAAAATTTCTAGTCGTTTGAAAATAACAGTGGCATTATTGATGATTTCAGCACGTAAAAATCGACCAACTAATTCTAGAAAAATATGAAATTGAAAGGTATTTGAGTGATGATTCTATAAAAAAATTAGCCCACTCGCTTATTTCTAAACAACCCAATTATGGCAATGTGTTGGTCGAGTTGGGTCGAAGTTGGACGAGGAGCGTAGCAATATCAACAACTGACGTCATCAACATCGATATCGGTCTGTGGATTAACATGATAGTTTGTTCGAATCAGGCCGTGATTTTCAACTTTTACTATGAAAAGCGCATTGGTTGAGGTTTTGCAACAAATGCAAATGATATGAAAAATGTTATTCGAGGTCCGTAACAAGACATTGAAAATGTTGATGGTGAAAAATTCAATTCAGTAGCTTTTTTTTTCAGGCAGTCATAGCAGCTGCCAGGATAGGCACCACTACCATTAGACAGATAGATAGATCCTCAGCGACGATATAACTTAGTAAGTATTGGCACATGAAAACTCAAAATTGGAATTTAATTTACTTAAATCAATGAAACTCACTGAAGTCAATAAAACTACCCACTTCCTATCGCAACCACCTACCAAAAAATCACCGAACCATGGACCCCCTGCAATGCGTGCAAAACGCCATGATGACCAAGAAGAAGAAACCCTTCACGTACAGCGTGATTCACCATAAATGACCCCCCCCCCCCCGTTCTAGCTCACTGTTTTGGACCGATTTCGAAATTTAAAAAATCATCTGCAATGATTTATCAGAAAATTCTCATCCGCTACATCAGAAAATACAGGGTGCTCGAAACAAACGATCTACAGGGTACTAGTTGAATTTTTCAAATGTATTCCATTGTATTTTTAGGTTCTGCCTGGAGAGCTGATTTCATCAATATATCACAGTTGGAGCCTAGCGGGCATTGTCACAAAGATGTAGGGTAGGGTGTACAAAATCAAGATTTATCTATTTTAGGATTTTGTTGTGTCTAAACTATTCATTATGATACACTTCTTTCTAGATAAATACAAAAAGCTCAAAGTCATATCCACACAATATTCATAAAATAAACAACAATGATAGATTTCGAGAGAAAAACGACTACTTTCTTGGCTGATGCCACGCAGAACATTGAATTATATCCTCCCGAAATCTATGCGTCGACTCGTATAAACGGATACTTATACAAGTGAAACTTTCCTCAATATCTATTGATTTCGATTTAGCCAAGCCACGCTAGACACCCACAGACCGGTTTCGAGCTCTTCGACTCTCATCAGTCCAAGGCAGTCTCCAGCCAGTAGTCCTAAGATCGCCGACTAATCATCTGGTTCTCAGGGAGTATATATGACGTCAGCCGTCAAACATCGTTGCGCAGCTGCGTTTCTGTGATACTGGCGTGATCGCTCTTGCAATTAGTAGACATTTGACATGATTTTTCGACAGGAATCTTGTCATGTTTGTCCGATTATCTGTTTTCCAGATGTTTTCAATTTAATCACCCCAAATTCCTTTTTTAGGTACCTTTAGGTACCTATATACTATTTGATGAACAGATTACAGAATTTCAGGTATAGGGGACCATCAGAGATAAACTCATTTCTATTGCTATGATATTTTCACGATTTTCTGAGTTTTTTGCCAGGAGAACATCCCGTGGAAAGTGTCTTGCAATTGTGTATTCTCTTTCATGAACGGGGTCCGATTTAACATAAAAAATATCAACCTTGTTGATATGACGTCTGGCGGTCGTTTGCTTTCAGTCTATAGAGGACGATTTCTGAAATTCAATTGACTATTCTGAAATACAATTGATGCTTTCTGAAATTCAATTGACGCTTTCGGAAATTCAAATGATACTTCCTGAAATACAATTGACACTTTCTGAAATTCCATTGGCTATTCTGAAATACAATTGATGCTTTCTGAGATTGAACTGACATTTCTGAAATACAATTGACGCTTTCTGACATTTTCTGAAAAACAAGTAACTATTGTGAAATACATTTGACGCTTTCTGAAATTGAATTGACTTTTCTGAAATACAATTGACGCTTTCTGAAATTCAATTGACGCTTTCAGAAATTCAAATGATACTTCCTGAAATACAATTGACACTTTCTGAAATTCTATTGGCTATTCTGAAATACAATTGATGCTTTCTGAGATTGAACTGACATTTCTGAAATACAATTGACGCTTTCTGACATTTTCTGAAAAACAAGTAACTATTGTGAAATACATTTGACGCTTTCTGAAATTGAATTGACTTTTCTGAAATACAATTGACGCTTTCTGAAATTCAATTGACGCTTTCGGAAATTCAAATGATACTTCCTGAAATACAATTGACACTTTCTGAAATTCCATTGGCTATTATGAAATACAATTGATGCTTTCTGAGATTGAACTGACATTTCTGAAATACAATTGATGCTTTCTGACATTTTCTGAAAAACAAGTAACTATTGTGAAATACATTTGACGCTTTCTGAAATTGAATCGACTTTTCTGAAATACAATTGACGCTTTCTGAAATTCAATTGACGCTTTCGGAAATTCAAATGATACTTCCTGAAATACAATTGACACTTTCTGAAATTCCATTGGCTATTCTGAAATACAATTGATGCTTTCTGAGATTGAACTGACATTTCTGAAATACAATTGACGCTTTCTGACATTTTCTGAAAAACAAGTAACTATTGTGAAATACATTTGACGCTTTCTGAAATTGAATTGACTTTTCTGAAATACAATTGACGCTTTCTTAAATACAAGTGACTATTCTGAAATTGAACTGACGCTTTCTGAAATACATCTGGAAAAGGTGTAGTAGCCTGTCGATGGTTTGTTCCGAGCATCATGAATTTTCTGATGTAGTTGGAAGAAAGTTATCAAAAATCATTTCAAATGTTTCTTCAAATTTTGAGATCGATTGAAAAATAACTGAGCTAGAGGGGGACATTTATGATCACCCTGTACTTCCTCGGAGGTATAGACCTCTCCGAGGTGCGCTTCCCTCGCATGGCGGAACTGACATAAGACAATATACCAAAGAAGGGAAGATTTGTATTTCGTGCAAGAATTTATTAAAATTATTCGTAGCAGAGCGCTTTCGACTGTTCCTTTGACACATATCATGTCTTGGATGTCATGTCATGCATGCCAACTTCAAATTCGCCTCCATTAGTTCAGTAAGTTCAATGACAATTAAATCAAGGTCCGTCACTCATCAAGTTCACTTCAACACGACGCATGTCGCAGCTACAATGGCTGTTTAACAAGTGAGGTACGTAGTTTTTGAAAGGTATCAGATTGTATAAAGGTGAGATAATTTATACGACGTTATAAAAGCAGATGATATTTTATCATTGCTCATGTAAGATGGAAGTTGAGGCCATGGCACCATATCATGAGCATATTTTTATATTGAAACTATCATTGGGCACCAATGATGTGTATACGACGCTATGAAAGTTCAGAGAATTGGAGATTCTTCGTACAAATTACGTACTTAGCCCGTACCTAGTTTATTGGCAAAAATAAAGACAATAGAGTGAGCTAGGTAAATAGTTTATGGGAAAAAAAATCAAGACAGTCGAGTGTGCTTTTTTTACTTTCTTTTGTTTTTTGTTTCGTTTCCTATTGGCAAGTGATTATCTAGGAACTTGTAAATTTTTTAGTTTTTTCATCGTATCTCCCGAAGTATTGAATTCAGAGAAAAATGATATAGGGATTTTTTGTAGATTCTATCAAAAGGAATAATTTTGGTTCTATAACATTGTCAGATATTTTCAGTTGTTTTCGAGATATTTGGAATTATCTGAGAATAAAATTTTCAACACTTTTGTTCCATCTTCCAATCAACAAAATGAAAAAATATTTCATGGTTCAGTGGAAGTCGATGATTTTCATCTATCGATAATCTTTGTTTTTCAATATATCTTCATAGTACCCTATGGGTCGTTCAAATTTTTTTTTTCATATTTTTCACTTTATTTCCTGTACTATTGGGTTTACAGAAAAAATTATGGAAAATAATTTGTAGGAAATGTTCCAGTGGATAACTTTGCACTCTTGACAATTTTCGATTTTTCCATTAGTTTTCGATATATATTGAATTGAAAGGATTTCAAATTTTGATGTTTGGATTTTCATTTGTTTTTCCATTTTCCGATGGATGCACAAAAAAATGGTTGAATAATAATTTGTTGCGTCATCAAAGAGGCATACGGTGCATTTTTCAAATTTGGATTTAGTCTATTGGTTCAGGAGATATGTCGTTTTAAAGCGAACCGTGTTTTTCGGAAAATCTCCTTGAAAAACCCACTTGGAATTTCCCGACCCTGCTCAATTTCAATAGGCTTCGTCTCTTCCTGATAGAGTTATTCTTCACGAAAAATGAAATCGATCGGACCTTTTTTGCGATTTGTAGAGTGATTACAAGGAACTTCCGGTGAAAAATCGAAAAAACCCGGAAAAACCACCTTAGAGTTTTCCGATTCCCTTCATATTTCAATGACATAATATTGTTTTGAGTACAATAAGATGGCAAAATTTCAAGTCGATATGTCGAAGGGTTCCGGAGATATATCGATTTATGATTAACACAGAGTACAGACAGACAGACAGACAGACCACACACAAAAACCAAAGTTGCTCAAAATTCGATGGGGATCATTTTCTCCAAAGTAACTATACCTCTATCTCGCTTAGTTTCCGAGATAGCATTTTTGGCACGGCCGTAGTATACTCCACTATGTATAGCGTCGTATAACAAGATGTAATCCATATTTTACCCCCTTTTGGGAAACACATTTTAATTTCTTTGTAACGTATTTTACTTAAATGTCGTTAGTTTTAAACTGGACAAAAGATATTTTCATGGACGGATTTCAATTTCAAATTTCGATTTTATCATAATGTCTTTGACTGAATTCCTAGCCTCGGTACGCTCGGCTATGAACTATCAGCCGCGGCAGTCAATCTACTACTTTTTTGCCTAGTAAAACAAATAACTATTTTCTCCAAATGACTATTGAAGTGGATTTTTGATGACACTTTCAACAGGCAGAAGAGGTGTACTTTTACTGCCTAGGCAGAAAAAGTTTGTTGCTATGCAACGTTCCAAGTAATTTCAATCAAATTGGTAATCAAAATTGACAATGACTTTGGGTGAACAAAAAATGATGGATTATTTGGACTTTGCGTGAAATTGAAAAGAATTTGGAGAAAAAATGATATGTTTCACATGGCAGAATAAAAAAGGGAATGTCTTGGCTGGTTTGTTAGCCTCGGCTACGCCTAGGCTATGAAACGCCAGCGGCAGCATCAAATCTCGTACTTCTCAGTCTAATGAAACAAATAACTATTGTTTCGACGGAAAAACCGCGCCATGCAGCTGAAAATATAGATCCCTACACGGCAAGTTTTTGGGCGAATAGAGAAAAATAATGGGAAGTGAATCTGAAATTCGTTATTTCCATATTCGAGGAAAAATGAGTATAAAACAGAAAGAAAATAACATTTTTTGATTTTTTTCGATAAAATGGTGATTTTTTGCAACTCTGTAAATTTCTATTGCAGCCAGCCACCGAAAGATCCACCCGAACCACCAAACCATGGACCCTCCGCAGTGCGTTCAGAACGCCATGATGACCAAGGATAAGAAACCCTTCACGTACACTCCTGGAGGCATAGACCTCTCTGAGGTCCGTTCTCCACGCATGGCGCGCCGTATAGAGCGCAACGCCCACCTGCCCGGCTCCGGGGACAACCCTCGCCCAACGCCTCACGCCCATCAGAACTTGGACCAATTGCCGGCATCGGCCTTGGCGGCAATGCGACCGCAACCGCAGGTGCAGGTGCGTATTTTTGCAGTCGATCGAAAATCTGATTTTCATCTGGAACTTTCAACTTCAAATTTCGACTTTTATTCAAAAATTTCGACTTTCATCCCGAAATTTTGACCTCAATTGACTATTTTACTTGATATTACGACATTTGACCTCGTCGGCTTTCATCTTGGAATTTCGATAATTATCTAGGAAATTCCGACTGTAATATCAAAATTTCCACTTTTACCTAAAAATTTCGACTTTATTGTGTCGAAGTTTCGACTTTCACGTTAAATATGCATCCTATCTGAGATACAGGGTGTTGAAAAAGAGGAAAAAAGGTAATACCCCCAGAACAAACAATATCAATCTGAGGGATCCACGGAGTTTGATACCAAGTTTGAATGAAACCCCATGAGCCGGTTCAAATCATGAAGAAAAAACGATTAGATAATTGTAACTTCAGAAAGAACTACTTTGTGATGTACCAGTGAGTCTATCATCAAGGTCCTTCGATTTAATTCCGGTTCGTTCATACATATACATATATGGCAGTAATCTATTGAAAAATATGGTGAAACCTCAGCCGTGGCACTTTGATATCTCCAAGGCATATTATCGAGTCTGGCACCACGGATTCTTCGTCAAGCTTCCATCTTATGGCTTGCATCCCCATCTATGTTCTCTGCTAGCTAGTTTTCTCTCGAACAGATCTCTCCATGTAGTGGTCGACGGAGTTTCATCTGACTCTCTTATCATAAATGCTGGTGTTTCGCAAGGATCAGCTCTAGCACCAACATTATTTCTACTCCATATTCCATATCAACGATTTGGTGGAAGCAACTTCATGTCTAGTACACAGCTTCGCGGATGATAGTACCCTCCATACCGCCTTCCCTTCCAGGGCTCCAATACCAGCCAGGCAAATCAGAAACGAACGAGGAAGAAATGTTGACCACATAAATATGAACTTAGCAACAATTCTCGAATGGGGATCCAATAACATTGTAGATTTCAATGCAAACAAAACACAAGCGTGCCTCTTCTCTAGAAAAGCCGATCTGACTGTGCCCAACATGAGCTTTTCAGGAGTAACCATACATTTGAAGACATTTATTTCGATGCTTGGTATTACTATCAGCAATAACCTTTCTTGGTGATATCACGTGAGATCAATTATTGAAACTTGGTTTTCTGTTTCGGGCCAGGAGCTATTTCACTTCCAGTCAGCTACCTATGATCTTTAAGGCACAGATCCGACCTGTCCTGCATTACTGTTCCCATATTTGGAGTGTAGCACAAAAACATATCCTGGAACTGTTGGATTCTGTCCAAAAAAGGGCAATTTGTCTCGTGGCGATCTGGCTCTATTTCATAGATATTGCCATGAACGATGCTCTTCTCCTGCAGAACATCTCTTTCCAAAGACTCGTTCATCCAACGAACAGCGAGGCTCTGGAACACATTGCCAAGGAAGGTTTTTCTCCAAGGCATATAACCTCCAGAAATTCATGAAGAACACCAATCCCTACCTCATTTTCCTTGGTTCTCACGATGTTCTCTGATCATTACAGGATATATCCCTTCTCGTGGGAACCAAAACATAAAATAAAACATTACGAAATTTCACATTTTTCACAGGTATTTCCTTCACCGCCCCCAGCGATGCCCTTCAAGGGGGCGGGACCAGTGCCTCCACCCCCACCACCCATGGGTCAAGGAGTGCCTCCACCTCCGCCGCCGCCAATGGTCCCTCTGCCTACTCAAAAGGTGAAGACGGGCGATAATCAGGTAACTTTTCTTTATTTTTGAACGACGGCTGTGCCCAATGGGCTCGTGTACATTTAATTAACGTTTTATATGTGGAAATTAAGTCAATCGTACATTAATTCGAAAAAAATACATCCTTCCATGATTCAATAGACATTTTTGTAAGTAGATCACGTTGACCTTGCATGAATTCGAATATATTCCACATTTTCATCATTAAATAGGCACATGTTTGTTGATCCAACATCGAATCGACGTTGTATGGGTGAAAATGACGTTAATCGTACATGAATTCGAATAAAATCCATTTTTTCATCATTCAATAGACACATTCAACATTTAATCAACGTTGTAATAATAATAATAATAATAATAATAACTTTTATTTCGACAAAGAAGTAGGTACAGTAAATGACATTACAGTAGCAATACTCAAAGCGAAAGTCGTCGAAACAGTAAATTATACAGTATAGGTGACAGGTAGGTACAAACTTTGTCTATATGTCTATAGTATAGCATCCATGTATTCTTTCACCTCATAAGGTTCAAGGTTCAATAAAAGTTTGTGAATAACCTTTTTAAAACAATTCAAATCTGTAATTGATTTTATATTAGTAGGTAGTTTATTATATAACTTAATACAGCTATAATGAGCTCCTTTTTCAGTCAGAAAAAGTCGATGTATGGGATAAATGTAATCCAAAGATCTAGTATTATATTCATGAATTGATTGATTTGTGTTGAAATATTCCTCATTTTTAAATTTGAATAATAGGCATTCTTGAATATATACTGCTGTTACTGTTAATATCTGATTTTGCTTGAATTTTCCCCTACATGACTCTCTAAAACCTAAGTTCAATATTGTCCTCATCGCTCTTTTTTGAGTTGCAAAAATTATATCAATTTCTTTAGATCCTCCATAAAAAATTACTCCATAGCGATAAAGTGCCTCAAAATTAGAGAAATATATTATTTTCAGGACTTTTTGATCTAAATATTGTTTCATCACCCTCAGGGTGTAACAGACAGAATTCAACTTTTTATTTAGTATGCCTATATGCCCTTTCCATGACAGAGACTCATCTAAAGTAATGCCTAAAAACTTGGTGTAGCTAGTTGTAGTAATATCTTGATTATTTAAGTTGACAGTCTCTGGAGCAATCATACTGGAACGACCTGTTTTGAATAGTACACAGTTTGTTTTCTCTTTATTCAAAATCAACCTTTCATTCACAAACCAGTCACATAGTGAAAGAAACACTTCTGAAGCATCATCAACTAACATCTCCAAGTCTTGAGCCATCATCAATAAATTTGTGTCGTCTGCATAATTCGTAATGAAGCAGTTTTCAACATTTAAGCATTTAGACATATCATTGATAAATAATATGAAAATTATCGGACCAATAATACTGCCCTGGGGTATTCCCAAGGTGATTGTTTCTGTGGTTGATGTGAAAGATATGTTTTCCTTTGTAACCATAAATAAAGTTCAAACATTTTTTAAGCATAGCATCCATTTTTACAAAGAAGACATTCAGATCCCCTGTGCATGCCCTATACACTGACATTACCATGAAATTCTCTTCATGTATACAAAATTCGCACACACTACATTCACATATCCCAATAGAGGACAACTCTGTAATTTTAGGTTTCCTTTTAATCTGTATTCCTGCTCTTGAGAAAATTGCACTTCCACCGTGTTGACCTTGTTCCCTACAAACTGACTCCGCAAGATAGAAACCTTTGATGCCATAATTCTTCAGTTGGTCCTGTGTTTGCCAATGTTCAGTCAGACAGAGGATATTACACTCTGGCTGGTTCTGTAGAAAATTCTCCAATCTATTCACACAATTGCCAATTGACTGCACATTCTGATGGATAATGCTAAGCTTTTTATGTTGTTCAGCATTTCCATGATTTTCAGATAGTGGTGTATTCCTAATGTCGTTTACTGTACCTTGTTCTTGTTGACAAACTGACTGTAGTTTATTCAAAAACACCACCACCGTTGGTGTTCAGGAAAACTTTGTGCTTTCCAAAATCGAAACGTTTTACACCCACACCCATTGGCCAAAACGCAGTATCATACATCTGATCCTTCAATTGAAATGGTGCTGTAACCATAAACCTCTTCAACATATTCTCATTACTTGGAAGTTCCTTCACACAAACCTCCTCTTTTATCAAATTTCTCTTTTTAATCAGGAAGTCTTCAATTTGAACCTCCGTTGCACTTCGCTGCACTCTGTAAATATATAGCCATACCTTTTTCTGGGGCCCTGCAAAACCATTCTCTTTTTCTTCTTCACTGACTGACGCTGTTGTAAGGGTGAGAATGATGTTAATCATACATGAATTCGGATGAAATCTAGTTTTCTCATCATTTCATAGGCACATGTGAATTGATCCAACATTTAAACAACGCTGTGCGGGTGAAAACAACGTCAATCGTACATGAATTCCAATAAAACCAATTTTTTCATGATCAAATAGGCACATATACGTTGAATTAACATTTAATCAACCTTGTTTATATGAAAAACACGTTAATGTTGCATGACATTCTACGAAATTCATTTGCAACGTCGATTCAACTATTATTCAACGTCGATTCATTGTTCATTCAACGTTTAATGAACGTGAAATTCGTTACTTATTGATTTTCAATGTTGTCGATAGTGTAATGAAAACCATGTTGCGTGAAATACGTTTCATCAACATACAGTGTTTCCATTTCCATTCCATAAAGTGGTATCCAGTTCTCTTTCAAAATGTAGACAAATCTGATATAGTCAGATTCTCATGGCCTACTATTGTTTGTTGAAGGGGTCAAAATTTCAAAAACGACTATCAGGCAATTTTTGTTCGAAAAAGTAGGCAGCCTATTCGATCCAGGCATAGCTGAGAGGGTAAATTGAATGAGCAATGTGTAATATGTATTCCTTTTTTTCGAAAAAAAACTGCCACATATTCGCTTTTGGAATTTTGACTCATTCATCAAACAATAGTAGGCGTTGAAAATTTTGATATTTCAAATTTTTTAGCAGGTACTATATTATCGAATTTTAAGACATAAGAAAGTGTTGCGATTTCAAATATCACACACAGTGTATAATCAATTTGAATATCCAACAAATTGTTGACAAATCATGTACATCATTGTGAGAGAAATATAATCTTCATCTGATCTGTGAATTATTTGCTCATCAATGGGCAGTATTCATCTTGGAATATATGTATGTATTTATTCGATCAACGATCTGAAAACATTGTTCAGTTATCACTATTTCCTTATGAAAGGATGGCACTGGTATTACGTTGGAAGTACTGAAATTCTCATGAAATTCATTTGAGCCGTTGATTCGACGATTATTCAACGTTTGTTCAACGTTGACTCAACGTTTAGTCGGTGTAAAATATGTTATTTATTGATTTTTCGCAACTAATTCGTGGATTATTTGCTAACCTTTTCTTCTAGGAATATTCCTATTCGATACAATTCTCATATTGATATACAATTCAGGTCCAAATGTCTTGAACGAGAAGTCGTGGTCCTTGTAGGAATTCTCATCTAGTATATCAAATAATTCAAATGACTTTCTATTGATGTCATACTCGAAACCTCAAAGAGTATATTCCGTACATTATTGAAAAATAGGATTCTTATCTAACGTTATAAAGAATATGGACATAACGAGGTCCAGTAAATGATAACAATTTGGAAATAAGTAATAAGGGTGTCTCGAAATATCCAGCTATACCTGATGGAAGAACGATATTGGTTCCTTTCAATAGTAATAATAATAACAATTTGATTCAACAAATTCAATTTTATTTTTGATAAAGGTGTTGGAGAGGCCAGACATGACTAAGATCATTCCCGACAATCCCATGACTTTGCTGAGGAAAACTGGTGGACCACAACCCCGAAAATCCCTAGTTGACGAGATGTTCGCACAATCTGGAAAGCCTGCTCCACAGATGTCATCTCCAATGCAGTCACAGAACAGGTAATTACATAACATCCAACATCAACAAAGCGAATTCACCATAATTTTTCTACATCAAGTACAAAAAAATTGGTGCATTCCTGGATTCGTAATATATTGATCTACTTCTGAATGATATCGAAATATGGAATATGCAGAATTTCAAAATGAATCGACTTTAGACTATAACTTTGGTATAATAATCATCCTGAATACCTTCCGGATAAAAAGGTGAGTTCATTATTCCAAATCTTTTGGGATTATCTCTCCTCGTTTCTATAAAATAAAAATATTAATATTATTCCAATATACGTGTATTGAGGACAAATCAGATGATTTGCTCCGACATAATACTGCGTTTAAAGAATTTTCCTGTCAGAGAGCCCAAAAGAAAAATTCACTAGCTTGGAGAAGAGAAATAAAGGTTTATAGAAAAAATATCAAATTGTCACTTATCTTTGGACGTTTCGGGACCTTATCTGCTCCCGTTTTCAACATAAAAAACGGTTATTTTAATAGCAAAGTCGTATCTGTCTTGAAACTTTTCAAGTCTCAGTGACAATTGGTGACGATAGCAATCAAATGAGTTCCAGAAGAATGCTTGCATTCTTCTGAACGGAGATAATAGCATTGCTTCTTGTTCAGTTGATATAGACAGAACATGGTATTTACTACTGAAATCTGAACATGAAAATGGTTAATTCAAGATTATTTGATGAACACATCCTGTAACTCATTTGATTGCCAACGTCACCAATTGTCACTGAGAACTGAAAAGTTTCAAGACAGATACCACTTTGCTATTGAAATAACCATTGTTTATGTTGGAAAGGAGAGCAGATTCGGTCCCGAAACTTCCAAGGATAAGTGAAAATTTGATATTTTCTCTATATACCTTCAATTCCCTTCTCCAAACTTTTTTCAATACAAATTGTCACTGACAAGCTAGTTAATTTTTCTTCTAGGCTCTCTGATAGGGAAATTCTTTAAACGCAGTGACATTTTGGGGCAAATTATCTGATTTGTCCTTACTACACGTTCATTTAAATAATATTCATATTTTTATTTTATAGAAACGAGGAGAGAGAACCACAAAATATCTGGAATAATGAATGTACCACCTCCTCGATTAACCTACAGACAGTATTTAAAAAGTAAGTTTGGGTAGTTGAAAAGCATATATATAATGATCAACTATTACATAGGTATCAGCCAAGCTACAATGAAGCCCCAGTCTCGTCTGTACCACAGCAACCACCTTCACCGATCTACAAACCCCAACCAGAACAGCAATACCAGCCCAAGAAGTTGCAGCAGTCTCAGCCTCAATCCCCGATCCATCCTGATCAACGTCGTATTCAGCAACAGCCTCATCAGCCTCAACCTCAGTTCGATCAATACCACCCACAGCATCACCAACAGCAGCCTCAGTACTATGAGCCTCCTAGACAACAACACAGTTCTCCAGAAGTGGTCAGGGAACCACCAAGGTATCAATTTGAGCTATAGAATTGAAATGAAAGAATGATGAAATCCTAGGATTTTATCATTGGTTCTTCTGAACTTGATATTTGAGCATGTCTTGGAGTCAAGGACTCTGGTTGAGTTCTCATTATACTTCAACAGCTTGCGGCTCATGCTTCAAGCTCCATTCTCGATGGAAATGACTGTCATTCTGTGGTCGTTGAACAATATACTATTTTCATTTGAACAAGTTATCATTCTACTGTAATAGAACTATTGTACCTTAAGCTGGGCAACTGAAGTAAAACAAGAAGGGTTTTCTGTCTGAATGTTAAAACGGTTCTCATCAAACTCTTGTACTAGTACAATTTTCTTCATTCGACCAAAATATCAGCCTCCTGTGATAGAAATACAGTCTCCAGCAGCTGCAAACCAAGAGCCCCACTTGACTGTAGCAGATGTCTTCGATACAAAATTAATCTTACCCATTTGACAAAACTATTAGCCTTCTGTGTGAATACAGCATCCTAGTTATTTTTATTTGTTCTTATTGGACTCCATAATACGTCTCTTTCCAAAACATAATTCATTTTCTCTATTTGACCGTGATAGAAATATCACCTGGTAGCTCAGCCAACTAGAAGCATTGGCGGTGAAATGGATTTTTTCTCCAAACGGCATAGAAAGTGGCTTTTCTATTACACTCAACAGGTAGCAAAGGCGTACTTTCTCTGCCTAGGCAATAAAAGTTTGTTGCTATGCAACGTTCCATCCAAGTGATTTGAATGGAATTGGTAATCAAAATTTACACTGAACTGGTTTTATAACATTTGGAGAAAAAAATGTATATAACTATTCCTCAGACTTTCTCACCAGTCGATGGTTATTTCCTGATTCAAATCTAATATATTTCATGTTTGTTGTTTGATAGCGAACCCTGCAAACAGATAACGTTTCTGTTGCAATCTCATGGACTTTAGTAGATGTCCTTTCCTTGACTGAGTTGTGTGTTATTTTTTTGACCAAGGTATCATCCTCCTGAGAGGATGTTTGGGAGATAAACAAAAAAATATGTTTTTCATTTGACTAAGTTATCATCCTACTGTATAATAGTGTTACGTTAATCGGGTGCAGACGCGAACACGACACTATTCATTTTCGAACTGATTTATTTTAACTGAAGGAACACTAATTTATATCGAACTTATAGCTACTATTTATGTAAAACGCGGTATATGACTGTCTCTCTGACACCCGCTGCTTGACTGACTGACGGCAGTTGTCCGGCCGTCCTTATATATGAGATCCCTTGGTAGGGTTTGCTTCGCGAACGTTCTCTAATGATCTTCCGTACCCTTCCTTTTGTTCTAGAAGTTTCTTAGAACAATACCTCTCTCTCTCATATGGTTCCATCGATTGTTTCCAGAACATTCCAGAATCTTCTGTCACGTTATTTGTCACCGCGACATATATTGGGTGTTCGGAAATAGGCTGGTACATGTAGGCATCATTGGGATGTACTCCTGCCTTCCTCTTAGGGGAATATCATTACAATAGAAATATCGCCCCTTGAACCATGAAATTGTAGCAAAGTAAGCAAGATTCACTGTTTCACTTTTGGGAGTTCTCATTAGACTCTAGTACAAGTTTCAGTTCATACTGATACTAAATACTATTTTCCTCATTTGACCAAGGTATCAGCCTTCTGTGATAGAAAGACCGATGCCAGCCGCTGCGTACCAAGAGCCCCAACCGGAAGTCAAGACCAGCACAGCTCATTTGGGCTCTCTCTACATACCTCCGGTGGATCAACAGAGACGTATAGTGTCGCCTCCTGCGCCCCCAGAACGGAACCAGGATAGCCCCAAGATTGACTCGCCGTCGCTCAGGGAGGCTCCCAAGCCTTGGCAGATCAAAAAGACGCAACAGGAGGAGACCCCCGCGTGGGCCAAAAAAGAGAATCAGGTATGTATGTGTGTGTGTGGGCGGTCCAGGATCTGACGCACTTAGGCCTCCCTTCTCGGGATCGCAAGTCAGTCATGGAGAAGGCCGATCTCGCGAGCGAAAGAGGCCAACTTCCTAGGACAAATCTTTTTAACATCCTCTGGGTCCAGGATACTGCGCCCAAAATGGATATCCCTTGCTGCTACTATTGCCGGGCATCCAGTGAGGACGTGAGTAGAAGTCTCTTCATCCTCTAGGCACCATCTGCATTCAGGATCCTCCACAATCCCGATCATGCTGAGATGTTTGTTCAGGTGGCAGTGTCCTGTCAGAAGGCCCACCACCACGTTCAGCTCCTTCCTGTTCAAAGCCAAGAGGGCATTGGTCTGTCTTCGTGACGGGTTTCCTATATGGAGTTTGGACTGCCTCATTCCAGAAGCTTCTCTCCAGCTGTCCCGAAACCTTTCCGTCAGGATTTCTTCCATCATGAAGTTTCTCCAGGATCCAGTGACCCCCAAGATTGGCTCTGGACCAATCACTGAACCCTCCGCCCCCTTTCTGGCCAGACCATTGGTCATTTCGTACCCCTGAGTGCCCAGGGGCCCACAAAAGACATACCTTGTTTGTTGCCTTTGTAGGCTATCTATGCACTCTGACACCAATTCGGAAGAGAATCAGGTATTTTTTCAGGAACAGAGGGAATTAGCTTCAAAAAAATGGATGTGCTACAGCTTCTCAGAACATCTTCTTCTTATTGTTCTTTATGTTTTGTTGTAATTGCTTTATACTTACTTTTTCAGATCCATGGAGGAACATGATATGGACCACTTGAGAAGATAATCTTCAATAAATAATAGCGTAATTTGACTGAATAACTAACTAACTATTGCACTGTATGCATTGGGTATACCAAACCAGGGAGAACCATTCCCTTCACTGTACTTTGAGAGTACCTACATGTATTATACCGACTAAACGCACTATACCTCCTTCCAAGGCTCGTCCGCAGTCTCCGATGACACTTGGCCTGTTGGCCCATTGTACCGTTATACCTCGAATATGCCGTTATTGATTTTCATATAATTGGGACATTTTAAATATCGTCACAGTGACTGAAAGGACTGCCGCTCACATTTCCAGTGGTTCAATTGAAAGACGCTTTTCCTTCATATTCTTGAAGAGTATACCTCTTCCGAGCCCTGTGGAGCCCCCTGCACAGGGCTGAGGAGAGGTCGCATTATCGATACCATATAACCTAGGTGGTATTCCTCGTCACGTATACCTACAACTTGGATTAGGTTGTCACAGCCCCGTTCAGCAATCCCCGGCTACATGAGCAGATGTTCACTAATTGGGATAATCTTTGCACACAGATGTTCACAAAATACTCCATCTGCCAGGCTACCGTGGCTTGTCCTTAGGGATTCGCGAGCTCAAGAGTCCAGTCTTGTTCTTCAAGACCAAGACCACGACTTGACTTTCCAGACCAAGACCAAGACTCTCTCCCAAGAGAGAAACATCCAAACCAAGACCAAGACTACATTCATTTTTCTATGGGGTTATACATTCCATGAGTACGTGCATGGATAGCATTGGTTCCTAATATGTCGGCAGGCAATGCCTATTATTAAGTCTTTTGTTAACCCTTAATTACTCGCGCTGGTGTATTTTGTACACCAGCGCCAAATTTCTTGCTACCATCGAACGTAGAATGGATCCAACGCCCCATAAGTCGAAACTTGTGCGGGGTTAGGAAAGCATACGTTTTTGTTTCACCTTAAAACAAGTCAAATTCATGGTGGTGTACAAAATACACCGCGCGGGAAAAAGTTCGAATTAATTAGCACGAGTGATCAAGGGTTAGTGGATGAACTACATTCTTGCCAATAAATTTGTCTAATGTCAGTAGCTTGTCCGAGATGAAGGTTTCTCCAGGTGTCTGATCCCTGTTCAACTTTATCTTTCCTAATTTCTTCTGACACAATACTGCTGATAATCTTGCAGGAAGGTACTGGTCCTACAAAGGGTGTTTGAGCTCCTTTCCGAAAGAGTTTGTTCGTTAGTTAGTTTCTCTCTAAACCCGAATATTTCGGAACCTAAAAAAGGGTAAATGTTTTTTCTGTTGAGAGAAAACGAGCTTGCCCGACATTCCTGAACCATTTTGTAAAATTTTTCAATTGGACTCAGCGCTTTGATGGCTGCTCGACTATCGCGGATATGATCATGAATACAAGGATGCCATACTTTTTCTCAAGTTGACTACGTATAATTTCCCTATAGCGTGAACTTAAGAGTGCTTGGTTCAAGGCCAGTAAACTGCTATTTCAGTATCATTTTCAGCTCCTGAGACATCTGTGTACCACATTATAGCTTTTCCTTCGAGCTTCGAGCTTTCCTGCAGCACTGCCTTGTGATGAAAAATTTCACGAAGCTGTATTTCGTCTGTAAATCTGGATACTGGTTGCCTGGACAGATAAGCCTGTTCTTGATCAATTCTATTCAAATCATTCTGTATATGAATCTACCCGGTAAACATTTTTTCCGCGGAAACATAAATGAAATATCAATTTTACGTCATATAAATGATGGTCAACATCAAACATACGTATCCAAAATACGTATTTTCTGAGGCGATAAGTCCCAACTTTCAGCGTAGTATAAACGTCAATTCAGTATAGTCTTATATGCATCTTCATTATAACGTTTTCTATCAGACGATCAACAAACATACCATATTATACGTCAATTGATAGATTGAAAATAAATATCCTAAAAGAAATCGTTTTCTCAGAGGCGATAAGTCCCAACATTCAGCGTCGTATAAACGTCAATTTATCATTGTCACATTTCCATCTTTGAAATAACGTTTGATATCAGATTATTCACAATAATATTAAACAATACGTAAATTTCTGGACAGAAATTATCTGTCTGGAATGAAATGGTCTTTTCTGGGGCGATAAGTCCCAACTTTCAGCGTAGTATAAACGTCCTTTTTCATTCGTCATATTTTCATCTCCAGAATAACGTATCGTATCGGATGAATAGAAAACATATCATACTATACGTAAAGCAGGAAATGGAGGATATATGTATCAAATAAAACGATCTTTTCATATACCATCATATTCACATCTTGAAATGTTCGTATCATGCTGGATTTGATACAAACGTATAAAAAAATATGTCGAGTAATAGATTGGAAATCAATGTCTAATAAGAATGGCATTTTTTCGATATAATTACAAACGTCATCGTAAATTCATTATAATTCGATTCTAAGAATGACATGAGATGTCATTAGTTCAATCATTATATTTACATCATGAAGCTAACGTACGCATTATGACAGATGATTTTGATATTGTACTAATACTGAATTTGCCATCAGATCGAAGACTGTTTTCTGATCAATTTCGTGGACTCGGTATTGGAAGAAACGATGGTCAACAGTCGTCATTCCTGCAATAAAAAATATTTCGTTATGTTAATGATTCATAATAACCGTCGAAAATAAAACGCAAGTTTTTCATCATATTTACATTAGGATACTAATGTAAGTATAATTACAGATTGAAAATATATTGTTGATATTTAACTCACCTCATTGGGACTCACACATCATAATATATCGATTTATCTTTAGCCTGGATCAGAAATTTTCCTCAGATTTCGAGACTAGTTGGTTTGAGAGATGTTCGAAGAGAGTCAGTATTGTAAGTAACGGGGGCAAATGATTTAAGCCGTCATTTCTGCAATTCAATCTATTCTGATTCAATAATAATCCACAACACCTATCTGAAATGAAACAAGCAACAATCATTATTCATACTACTCACTTTATGGAACAACATATAGAGTAAGTGGACGTATGTGTCGATTTCTTTGCATTGTAGCCTCTCTAACAAAAATTTACCTCTCACTCCAAGTCTCTGAGATTGGTCTCAAAAATGATTTTTCCTGGTCCCTTTTGTAGCAAGCCATTCAACGTAATAAGGGCCAATTGTTTGGAGCCATCATTGCTGAAATTTGATGAATTATTATGTTACAAAAATAATTCAAAATATAAGTCCGAACTGAAGCGAGTTTCATCCATCATATTTACATCATGGAACTAATGTAACGTAACTATTTTGATATTTCTGTACTTACATCCGTAATGTATCGGTTACTTCTTTTTCCAAAAAATGATCTTCGATTCCAAGACTATTATAAAAAGGGTTGCTTTCCGATTCATCTTGTTGAGAAATTCTGACGAGGGCCAATTTTTTGAAGTATTCGTTCCTGCAATTGAATTGGGGTATAGGTTATCCTCACGGACAGAGACAGGAATATCTTTTAGATAGGTGAACTCAGGTCATAACTAATCAATGTATAGGTACAGCAATATGAAATGAATAACCATTTGGGTTATGGAGTTATACATACTACACATCATCATTCACACTGAGTATGAGTGAAAGACCATATTTCTCAACTGACCTACCTGTTATCGCCATTTTGAAATGCCTGTTCTTTTCGGCTGATTCCATTTCAAGCATCATCATTTATTGTTTACTATCATCAGAATAGGTGGATGATATTACTCAGGTAATGCCGCATGATTTCAATAATCCCACTTCACATTCACAACATACCTACACACCTATGCTGTATCACGTTTGAACAGGAATAATAATACATATCAGTGGAAAGCTGATCGTCGATTGTCGGTAGCTAACACTCGCCATTGTCGGTAGCTAACACTCGCCAACTGGAAAAAAACTGGGGTTTGTTGATCGTTGATCGAAGGAACATTCTGATGTCATGACGTAATTGCGCGATGGATACACAATTATACAACCAGTGTTGCCAGTAATTTCTCGTTGTTCGGAATATTCACTTTCCAGAATAGATTTCTCAATGTTTTCCACATCAAGCTTGATTGCTCAATGACACTATATGTACCCATTTTCATTGGTATCAAGATTGTGCACCTTCTCAGTATCAAAAAGTATATCAGCTAAATAATTTTGAGGGAC